GTGGCACTCAAAACTTCCACGAGTTCTCGATGTCGGGATATCCCCGCCACTTCACAGGATACTGGGTTAGTTTCTGGCGATGACGTCGAGCCACAAGACGTTCCACGTGATAGTTGACGCCACCATTCTCGTCGAGAAGATTCGGCGGCGGACGATGACAACTTAGCCGATCGCCGTCCGGTGACTCGCGATGGTCTTCGAGCATTGGAGGAAAAAGTCCATCGGCATTCTGCCAAGCATCTCTTCGAGGTCATCTACCGCTGTGTAGAAAATCTGGAGAGCCTGGAGCACTGTGTGCACCGACTGCCTCACGTTGAGGATATCATGCTCATTCGGAACGGCTCTTAGCCGTCAAGCTGATGAATACGTCACTTCGTGCGGCGGTGGAGCGCCTGGCGCCGTTGGAAATGAAATTTGTTGCACTCCGTTCTCATAACCAGCTGCTGGTTCACCTTTTGGGTGACCAAACGCCTTTGGGCGCGCCCCGGCGCCAACGGTCCCACGTTCACTTCCGCCGGTCACGATACGGCATATACAAGTCCACATAAGACACCGGGTGGATGCGCATCCGTCTCGGAAGGTTCTGCGTATACGCAGGGCCTCGCTTGTCCACGACCTTAAAAAGGTACCGTGAATGGAGCTTTGTCTTATTAATAGCAAAAATTGCACGTGTAGCAATGTTTTTAGCATTTAACAAGACCAGGTCTCCGACCCCAATGTTATTTCTTTTTTCTTTTCCTTCTGCATATCTTGGCTTTCATCCGTCGCATCGCAAACGTGCCTTAAGACAGTTAGTCTGGCAGACAGGAAGTCATCGACGTCTTTACGCAAGATGAGAGGGATGACATCAGTTAGGCGCTCGGCTATTCCTCCCCCACCAAGCCCTGAGCCATGGGGTGGTGGCGTCAGCGGGACGCGAGGATGAATGAGCCCGTTCACATAGAGCGATGTGTAGCCGGTATTGAATGCACTGCATTGTTCAAAGCAAATCCAGCAAGTAGCAACAGAGTGCTACAGCGAGTGGCAACATCGTGCTCCTGCGAGTGGCAACATCGTGCTCCAGCGAGTGGCAACATAGTGCTCCAGCGAGTGGCAACATAGTGCTCCAGCTTTTCGACGTCTCAGCACAGACGCTGCAAAGAACTTCTTCAACGACGCGAATCACGCGCTCAGATTGACCATCGGTCTGTGGATGGTCCGCTGATGACATCGTCAATTTGGTGCCCATCACCCTGAAGATTTTCGACCAAAACGTCCCAGGGATTCGTGGGTCTATGTCAGAGACAATTGACTCCGAAAGTCCATGTTGTCGAAGGACATGATCCGCAAACAGCGTCGCTGTACCGACACCGTCAATAGTGTCCGGCACCGCAGCAAGATGAGCCATCTTGCCCAAACGGTCGACAAAGACCACTACACCCGTGTTGCCCGCCGAA